GAAGAATAGCGCCTGCCACGCCAGCGCACCCCCTTGTGGCGTCGAAGAAAGGTCACGCCTGCCGCGCTTTGGGGGCCCGAAACGGATAGAGACCGCACCCCCAGCGCACCCCTTTCGGCGTCAGAAGTTGCCGCGCCTGCCACGCTTTGCAAACCCGAAACGGATAGCGACCGCACCCCCAGCGCACCCCCTTATGGCGTCGAGGAAGTGTCACGCCTGCCACGCTTTGCGAGGCCGAAACGGATAGCGACCGCACCCCCAGTGCACCCCCTGTGGCATCGAGAAAGTGTCACGTCTGCCACGCGTTGCGAGCCCGAAACGGATATCGACCGCATCCCCAGCGCACCCCCTGTGGCGTCCAAAAGGTGCCACGCGTGCTAGGCTTTGCGGCAGTGTCGTGGATAGCGGCCGCGCTGGGAGACCACCCCCTGCACACCCCCTATGGTGTCCAGAAAATGCCACGCGTGCTGGGCTTTCCGACAGTGTCGTGGATAGCGGCCGCGCTGAGAGACCCCCCCCCCTGCGCACCCCCTATGGTGTCCAGAAAATGCAGCGCCTGCTAGGCTTTGCGACAGTGTCGTGGATAACGGCCGCGCTGAGAGACCAACCCCTGCGCACCCCCTATGGTGTCCAGAAAGTGCCACGCCTGCTCGGCTTTGCGTCAATGTCGTGGATAGCGGCCGCGCTGAGAGACCACCCCTGCGCACCCCCTATGGTGTCCAGAAGGTACCAGGCCTGCTAGGCGTTGCGGCAGCGTCGTGGATAGCGGCTACGCTGGGAGACCACCCCCTGCGCACCCCCTTTGGTGTCCAGAAAATGCCACGCCTGCTAGGCGTTGCGACAGTGTCGTGGATACCGGCCGCGCTGAGAGACCACCCCCTGCGCACCCCCTATAGTGTCCAGAAGGTGCCATGCCTGCTAGGCTTTGCGACAGTGTCGTGGATAGCGGCCGCGCTGAGAAACCACCCCCTGCGCACTCCCTATGGTGTCCAGAAGGTGCCACGCCTGCTAGGCTTTGCGACAGTTAACGACAGTGTCGTGGATAGCGGCCGCGCTCAGAGACCACCTGCTGCGCACCCCCTGTGGTGTCCAGAGGTGCTGTGCTGTGCTGTGCTGTGCTGTGCAGTGCTGTGCTGTGCTGAGCTGAGCTGTGCTGAGGTGCGCAGCGCTGTGCTGTGCTGTGCTGAGCTGAGCTGGGCTGTGCTGAACAGTGCTGTGCTGTGTACGTGCTCTGTGTTAATGTGCTGTGCTGTGCTGTGCTGTGCTGTGCTGAGCTGTGCTGTGCTGTGTGAGAAGGAGAAGGAAGGGAACAGGGAGGTGAGTGAGCGTCGCGGGTGCGACGCGGCAGGGGAGAAAACCATAACCCCACGAAACATGTGGGGAACGAAACGGGCCCACGGAATCACCAACACACCGTTTAGGTCGACCTCTGAGTCGACGGCCAGCCTTGTGGGAAGTGAGAAGGGGCGGGCCTGCTCATACTAGAAGAAGAGAAGACCACATAAACATAAACTTTTGGCCCTCCGCGCGGATTTCTTTGATTCGCGCCTGGGCTCCCCTCCCTGGCGCGCTCAGCGCGCCAGGGGCGGCGCAGGAGGCGCCGCCGAGGGGCCCGAGCGCGGATCCAAGAAATCCGCGCGCAACGCCAAAAGTTAATGTTTATGTGGCTTTTATTCTTCGGCAGGAGGCTCCGAAGTCCCCCGAAGCCCCCCGAGAACTGTCCCGTGGAAGCCCTCCCAGAAGACACGGGAGGCTTCTCGGAAGGCCCGGCGGCTTCTGAGAAGCCCCGCGCCGCCCTCTCAGAAGGCCTTCGCCTTCCCCTCTTGTGGAGGGCAGAGACGCCACCCCGATGACGACCACCCCGGCACGCGAGGGGTCGTCTCAGTACACGCGCCCAGGGAAGGGATCGAGCAGGGCAGGGCTGCTTCGTAGCCGCCCAGGGGGCGGTTGGTATTACCAGCCTGGAACACATTCCCATCTAGAGGAAGAAGAACTATGCACATACACCGATTCTGGCCAGGCCCATCCTGAGCCCAGGATCGGCGCATACGCCCTCCTACCTTGGCCAGGAAGGCATATGCACCGATCCTGGGTCAAGGATGGACGTTGTCAGGATCGGTGCATGTGCATATTTCTCTTCGCCCGACCATCCCCATGCTGGGCATCTCCCCATCACGGTGCCAGTCTTAGGGATTCCCTTATTTTTCGAGGGCGCAATCCCTGAGATTAGATCGTCATCGCGTTTTGGCGTGTCAGCCTTGGGGATAGGGACAACTTCGAGGCTGGCAATGGTAAACGCCAATTGTCCGGTCGGGGTGGTTTTTCCTCTCTTGATCTTCCCCCCTCGCCCGCCGCCGACCCAGGGGCGGCCAGCATCGAATCGGGGAATCGGATCGGGCCGCATCGGGTCGCGGGAGGAGCGGGCTCGAGTCGGATCGGGCGGCCGAAGCCGACATCGAATCGGACCGATCGGATCGACGCGGACCCTGCTCCCCCCCCTCCCCTCCCTGGGACGGCTGCACGCAACGAGTGCCCCTAGACACGCACAAGCGTTCACCAGCCTCGAGCCTATCCGAACCCCGGACGAATGCGATGCCAATCTCGGGGATGCGCCCTCGGAGACTGAGGGAATCCTCAAGATGAGAATCGAGATGAGGCGATGCCACTCATAGGGGAAGGCCCCGGACTGGTCAAGATGGGCATCGAGATGAGGCGATGCCACTCATAGGGGAAGGCTCCGGGCTGGGCAAGAGTGACCTTTGGTGCGCGGCGCAGCAGGGGCGCGGGGTGGCCGCACCCGGACGCGGGAGCTGCTGCTTCCGCTTCGCGCTCAGCGACCAAGGGACCCCACCGGGCCCGCACGGGGTCACTCCCGCGAAGGGTGACTCCTCCGCGTCGCCGAAAAAGGCCGGCGGAGCGCCAAGAAGGGGGGAGGGCAGAGGGCTCCGGCATTCGCAGAAGGCGGCGGGGGCGCTGGCAAGCACAAGCAGGAAAGGTCAGGTCATGAGAGCTCGCGAGCCAGCAGACGGAGACACGGGAGACGAAACGACAGGTGCTAACGGATCAGGGAGAAAATAGAGAGGCAAAGAGACACACCGAACACAAGTGTTTTCGAGACCATGGGGGTGATCCTGATCCTATCTCAGTGACGACGTGGGCGCACCGACGCGACCTGATGCGAGGATCGTCTAGGGAAACTTTCCTGAGAGCCGCGCAGCTGCGTCCGCTCTGTGTTGTTCAGTGCCTCGTAGCCGAAGACCTCTGGCTCGCGCACCGAGAGATGATATCGAGGAGGGTGGGGAACACAACGAGAAGGCGACGGAATTAGGCAAAGCATCACAGGAGGACGACACCGTGACAGATGCAGAACCGATGCGCTTGATCACTGAAGACTCGTGGTGTCCAAAATCCGGATAGCGAGGCGACAGAAGCTTCTGGAAGGTCCTTCGAGGGAGCTCTGGAAACTCTAGCTTCTGGAAAGCTTCAAGGCACACTGATTGGGGAACAATTAGAAAAAAGCCTTCTGGGACGTATTTCTGGGTCACGCAACCTGATGCGAGAAGTTCTGCCAGAGGCTGGAACGAGCTCCGGGGCGACCCTGCGTTGCCAGCTTCTAACCTCACAACCCTTTTATCGGGGGCGTCCAAGAGGGGGGAATCCAAGGGGGGGGGGTGCAAATCATGGCCAGCGGCATGTGCGCGGCCCAGGGGGGTGGGCCAGGGACGTAATGAAATAAGAGGCGCCATGAAATCTGAGGAAATATCATGGCCCACGCCATGATATCCAGTCCCCCCATATGTTCATTACCCCTCTCTTCGCCGCCCCCGATTTTAGCTCTGCCAGGAGCTAACCGGGACGGACCAACCCCACGCACGTAATTGCGGACACGAAGAGGGGGGCGCCTGGGCTGCCCGCGCCGAGGCTGCGTAGCTCGAGCGCCGGCGCAGAGAAGCACCCGCCACGGGCGTCGATGTTCTCCCGAAGCTGTCACCCCGCCACTTGCGCCGGTGTGTGGCAAAAGGTTGGAGATCGGTGGCGACACGGGGCGTCGTCGGGCCGCGAGGCTTGAAGCCATAGGTACAAAGGCCCGCCGCAGGCGTTTTTGCTGTGATTCGTTGCTGCATTCTCACGACCAATCAATGATCATTGTTGGACCCCCTCGATGACCTTTCGCGCTGTCTCCTCGGCGCTGGCTGCATTTCCTCTGAAAACGTGGCTCACGCTTGAACGTTTCGGGGTGGTGCCCAGACCGACTCCCCAATAACAGCAATCACTCTACCAGAATGCTTCATGACTGTATATGCAAGATGCATTATTCCTCATAGCTTCCTATTTCATGGAGGGAATTACTTCATGTACCGAGTGCCCGACTTCCACCGACCCAGATCACCCGCCCAATAATGTTTTGGCAACACCTCTTACGAGGCACTGAAGCATCTTCAACTCGTAGATTTGGGGTATCCTTTGGGCCGTCTTGGCGCCCCCTTTTGTCTTCTGAGATCATGGGCTTCAAGACTGGTGCTCCACAGCGATGTGTCCAACCAAAGAGATAATTAGATCTCCCTTGCTGGGATCATGGGCTTCAAGCCTGCTCCACAGTTCAGACCGAAAAACTATATCTCCCCGGAACTCCATCCCAGGCTACGCGCAAGCGCGGACGAGGATCCCTGGAACTCCACTCCAGGTGATGCGCCTGCGCGGGTCCCCAGAACTCCATCTCAAGTTATGCGCGGGCGCGGGCGGGGGCAAAACCTTAGAGCGAACGATTTGGAACTCCGTTCGGGCATTTTGCCCCGAGGCTCATATTACACTGAATGGTGATTGACGGAAGGAGTGCTGACATGCTCTCGCGACATGACGGACGGACGGGCGGACGCTGGCGCATGGCTCCATGGCTCCGCGAGGGAGCGGCTGTGGGGGCCTAAACCCACTCACTTCTTGATGCATTCGTCCTTCAACATCTCCCAAATTGGCGGTTTTGCCCCTTGTACCCAAGTGTCGTTCCCAATAACTGTCTGTATAAATGTTTTGCTCCCGAGGGTTGCGCTAAGCGTCGCAAGAAACACTAAAGAACAATTTATCCTACTCAGCGCCGAACAACTTAAGTTGTCGGCCGGCCGATGGGCTTTCCATCAGCTCGCACACATCCTCCTGTGGCCAACGCGTGCGAGTGCCCTCAGCGGCGGGCTCCTTTTCGAAATTCGTTGTCGACGGCATCAAGAACTGCAACCTCCTTAACCGGTATTTGTACGACCTGGCTGAGATGCTGGCATATCTCCGCCCAGCACCTCTGCCTACGGGAATCGCAGAGGTGGCCGAGTAGGGCAAGGCGAGTCCTAAAGACAGTCTTGCAGACTGGGCAAGCGCCGCTCGCAGCAACGGAAACTCTTTGAGAACACTTCTCGCCGTGCTTGTTCCGGCGGTGCTGCGCGAGCTGCTTGTGGGTGTGCAAAGCCACGCCGCAAGCATCGCATCGAAACTTCCGACTCGCATCACCATCGTCCAAGCTAGCGGCCCGAACGTCGCAAATCGAATCGGTGATCATGTATAGGATTATTTCAAGAGTTCGGGATGTTTCTGAGCGGTGTCGGAGGCCTCGCAGGCCGTGCAAGAGTATGCATGCAGCACGGGGCGGAGATCATCTGAGAAATGCCCATGTGGAGAGAGTCAGGGAGGTGGAGGAGAAAGTGGCCCCAGAGGGACTGAGGAGAAAAACGGAAGGGGAATCAGGCTGGTGAAGCGCGGGCGCCTCTAGGAAAGCTCTCAGGCTCGCGTGAGGGCGGGTGGGCCCCCTAGATTGGCCCAGTGTGCCGTTTGTGTTCCTCCTCGTCCTCCATTTCTTCCATCACCTCCTCTTTCTTCACCCCCATATCCCCGTCCTCCACTCCCCAACCAACACTGCAAGTCAGAGCGAAATCGACCCGCCACCAGTCGCGCGGCTCCCCTTGCTGTCTGACCTCTGGGCGCTGTCAGCCTCGGGCGGAGACGCGCCAGCGCCCGCGGGGTCCTCGAGACGCCGCCCGCTCGTTACCACCGACTGTGCCGCCTGGTCGATGAGTCGCGGTGGGGCCAGGGTGTTGCTGGCGTCCTCCGGGGCCGCCGCCGCGACCGCGCCAGCGCCATCCGACTCGAAGACGCCTGCTGACAAAAGGGGCGTGAGAGCGCACGGGCGCGCTGACGCGCCTGGTCCAACGCTGATCCTGGATCCACTCGGACGTCTCGAAAACGAGCTTCACCACGCACGAAAGTCGGTCCAGGCCCTCAATCCAATCCTCGTCGTCTGGCGGATCCACGGACGTTTTCAAGCTGTTCTTGATGGCGAAACGCATACGATGATGCTGCTTACTGAAACGGAAACTCACCCCTTCCACAGCTGGCAGCTCGAGTCTATCGCAGGCACGACGAACCCAAAACTGCAAGTCATGTCGCTGGTCTGGCCGAGTACATTGCATAATATTACTCTGGGTGGCACAGATTTGTTCCCAAAAGCTGCCAACTAACATCTCGAAGGCAGTGGTGCAACGCAACATGGTTAACTCTGGTGACATACCGTCGACCCAAACAGCAACCTCGGAAATAGAAGACGATGCGCCAGACTCCCCTTCAGAATTAATGCAAAAATCCATGTGTGCAGTATCGCGCGACGCACACCGGCTCTGAACATCCATCGTCATTTCAGCACTAGGCATTCTCGGCACTCTCGGGTGCGTCCTCCTCCTTGGAGCCAGGTCCGCAAATTCTCGAAAGCCGACCAGGTACGACTCCTGTTCATCACCACTACTGAATCGCACGCAGAAAGCTTCCACCGACACAAAGATGCCTCAAGTGTCCCGCAATTTGACGTGACAAACCGTGCATAAATCATCACACGCAGTACTGGAGGTTACCTGTTTGGCAAATGTTTCGCGATCGGCCTATGTGGCAAGAAAGGACGATATACTCACTCCCGCCAAAGATCGAGGCTCAAGCCGCGAGCTTTTCGGAAGGCCACACGAGCATCAGCGTGGCATCGAGCTCGACCACGGCGTCACAAACGCCTGCTAAGATCGACTTTGCAGCGCGCAACTCGCTCCGACATGCTTGACCCTCTAAGAGGGTACTGACCACCATTGAGAACACGACGTGCAAGACTACCAAACATACTTCGACACATATCCAATTAAGAAACAGGTCATTTGTGGTATTAGGGTCGTGGCACGGCATGCCATTGGACTTGCCAGCAAGCGCTGTGGACGCAGCGGAAAGATAGCAGAGTGTCTGATATACGGTATGTCCTTTTCTCAGCTTGAGTAAGATATGGCAATGGTAAACAATAAACGTCACGGCATGCATATCCGAGAGCTGCCCGATCAGCCCTCCTCGCCGCCGCGTCGAACTCCCTCGAGCCTCGACCCAGGCGGTCTCCGGGTTGCCCCAACGAAGCTGAAAAGAAAAAGTCGCTCGCCTCGCCACACGCAACCTCACAGAAAGCATGCCTGCGCACATGAAATCAGTCGCCTTGACTCGGGCGACCTTCGACGAAAATCATGCCTGCACCTCCTCTTTGCCCTCGGGATCGCAAGCCAGTTCAGGCTCGAGCAGGTTGCCTGCGACCGCGAGAGGGAGGCCAGACTTGCCCGCAGCCACGAGAACTCCAAGCAGTCCCAGCATCTCATCTAGCTCCTTCTGCGCCAGAGCGTCTTGGAAAGGATGACTCGACGCTCTGTCACATGGCGCTGGAGCCACAAAGTCTTCGTCTCGATGTGTCGGATGCGCCCCGCCCCTTGGCGATGAGCTGCCCCGCTGGCCGCCGTAGCGTCGCCAACCAAGCACAACTCCAGCTCGCATCCCATGTCGCGCGCCAGCGAGACCGGACCGATCCCACAGGGCGCGGCGTGCACTAGAGCGCACCACGATCCGCGCTCTGGGACTTCACACCTGGCGCTGAGAGAGCCTTCGACTCGCGCCAGAGGTTCAGCTGCTGCATCGTGATGAGCGCATGGCGATAGTCCGCCTCGAGCTCCACGTCACCTCTCGAGGTCCAACGGAAGATGCGGTTCAGACAGACCACCTCCTGAACATCCCAGCACTCTTGTTGGGTCCCAGCATGCCCTCGAGCGTGACCCACATGTACTCTGCAGCTCGCGGTGGAAATCCAGGCTCTCAGTGCGGAGGCCCTTCAGCGCGAAGTTGTCGCCGTAGACGTAGGCCGCGAGCTCGCTGTCGCCTCTGCGGTATATGCAGGGACACCACACGCCACATGAGAAACCCATCTTGCCCTCCAGCGTCTCACGGACCAGCAGCTCGAAGTTCTGGCCTGCGTCGCGGCAGCCGTAGAGACACCTGACCAGCAGCCCGCGCGCGTTGGGGTCAGCTGAGCGGGGGTCCTCCGACGGCACCTTCACCCGCAACTTCCGCTTCATCTCGCAGTGCGGGTGAGCCCTCGCAATGTCCAGGATCATGAGGACGTGCTGGTCCTCCTCGGCGTTCCTGGGCCCCCCAAATCCATGCTCGTGCGGTGGCGTGTCTCTGCCGCGCACAGCCTGCAGCGGACGTTGGGCTCGCGGTCGTCACCCTTGTTGATGTCCACCCAGATCATGGGCACCGGGTCGCGCCCGGTCTGCTCGCGGCAGTGCTGCTTGGTGTCGTGCACGTAGGCGCCCAGGCCGCGCAGGAACTCCATCTCCTCCTTGCGGCCAGCTGCCACGAGCTCGGGGTCCAAGGCGGCCCCGCTGATGTTGTCGACGATCTCCGCGTAGTGCTCTGGGTAGGCGCCCCAGACCTGCGGCTCGTCCAGGCGCGGCCCAGCCTCTGGCGCACCCAGCTAGCCGCGAGCGATCGCCTCACGACGCAGCCCACGCAGCACCGCAGCCACGAGCTTCGGCGGGTACCGCTCGATGGTGCGCATGCCGCGCCGACCTAGACCGACCGTCTGGCAATGCCGAACACACCCAGGACACCGACGCGTCAGCTCCCGGGCAATCTGGGCAGAGTTGGTCAACCACCCCGTAGGCTTCTTGACCAGCGCTGGGCCGATGGCATCATTGCACCACAACCCATACGCACATTGATCACACTCGACGTAGTGTACTCCTGGCATCTCGGCGATCTCTCGGATCATCCAGAGACGCCAACTCCTCGATGATGCTGGCTGCTCGTGCAAGAAGAGGCGGCCAGCCTTGATCTGCTCCTTGTAGCGCTCGGCACAGAAGACCAGGTGGACGACGCCTCGCTCCATGATGGCGTTGACGCCCACTCCCTGGACCACGTTGAGGGCCTGCAGGTTCGACCACGGCACGCGCATCGGGCTGCCGGTGATCAGTAGCGGCTGCTCCAGCTCGATCGTAGCTTGCGCCCGCTGCCTGTCGCCCCCCTGGCTAAAGTCGTAGCCGGTCCTGATGTCGTAGGCTGTGCCGGGCTCGAGGTCGAAGGCGCTCGACCGAGACGCGAAACGCCCTGGTCCGCGCAGCTCGCTGACGGCCACCCTCCAGTCGCTTAAAGCCGCCAGCAGCGCACAGAGCTCCAGCGAGTCCGCGTCCATGGCGCCCCCAGCTCCAGGCGGCGCCTGCAGAAGCCCGCTCGGCCCAGCAGCCTGCGCCTGCGGCGTGGATGGCGCCTGCGCTGGCGCCCCCGGCTGCTCACCGCTGATCGCGGGCGCGAGGGGTGCTGGACCGCCTGGCGCCGCGACGCGGCGCCTCAACGCCTGCGGCAGCTCCGCGGGCGAGCCCCGACGCGGAGCAGCTCGTCGGCCAGGTCGCTCGATCTCCATCGGCGCCTCGGCCGGGCTGGCAGCTTGAGGCGGCGCCCCGGAGCCCTCGCCCTCCTGGCGCACGGGCGCCCTGTCAGCAGCCTCCAGCTGGCGGGCCGCTGCTCCGAAGACGCGGGGCGCGAGCTCAGGGTCGTTCGCCATGGCCTGCTGGATGCGCTCACGGCGCTCCGAGCTGTGGGCTTTGGCTGCTGCGTTAGTGCGGGCCGCGAGGAAGCCCGGGCATCCATCTGTGAAACCGTACTTGGCCAGCTCCACGTTCCTGCGGATGTAGACGTTCCGAGGCTCAGCCGGGACCTGCTCTGGCACAACCCTCGGATGCTGCGCAGCAGGGTCGACGAGAGGTTCGTCGATGACCGTCGGGATGCGAACGTTCTCTGGCTTGTCTGGAGTCGGCATCCACGGCGCGCCCCTGATCGAAAGCAACAAGGCCGCATCGGCCCGCTGGCTCTGCGGTCTCCTCCTGATCGACCGCGCGCGCACGACCCTGCAGTCGTAGCCGACGAGCATCTCGCTCGACTTCTCGATGACGCCCAGGAAGACTCCGATCTTCCAGCGCTCCTCGAACTTGGTGTCGCGCCGCGCACTCGGGAGGAACACGATGATCTCACCGAAAGGCGGCCGCACCTCGCGGAAGGCCTTGCCCTTGTGCCTCTCGCGCGGCGTCCGTCCATCGGCGCCGATCTTGCCGCGATTGATGCATCCTGCAGCGCGGGTAACCAGTCAGGTCAACGCTGGATGGTCATTCGGGATGCCTGTGCCGTGCAGCAAAGACAAGGCGACTCTCAGAGACCGTGCTACGCCCTTG